TTAAATGTCTTGCTGGATGACAATCTTTAGATCTCGTATGTTCCAGATTTACGCAAATTCGGCAATTATATCCGCGCTACTTGCGTTCCCAATTTTTTTTGCTCAGCCATCAAGCCTGTCCTATCAATTTGAAGATATAACGATCTTTCGGACACTCCATTCTTCGACCAGAGGAAATTACCCTTCTAAGTGCATCCGGTGTATCGACCAAGCTTTGTGCGCGCAAAATACAAACGGAGTATACTTTCGCTACTTATAAAATCTTCCGAGTGAAACCAATTGTTCTGTCGTGTGTGAACGCCCTCTTGTCGCCTATATAGGTAGGTGATCGCAGGAACAGTATGAACAGTATTTTACGGGAACTTCATTACTCTACATCTCGTCCTTATAATAGGATTTTCTGTTCAATCTTAAAAAATTGAAGAAACAAAATTATGATAGTTCGAAGATGTGAAAAGCATTCTAAAAGCCAAAAATTTTTAAGTGTCTGTTATCTTACTACAGTGTGGATTATTTTTTGTGCCTTCGAATAAATTTAAATAAAACGGTTGTGCAAAAGTTTTTATAAATTTCCTAAAATCCTTGTATCTTTGTTCTGCTTATTTTAATTCTTATAAATTTTTTATTCAATGTTCAATTTTATCTAAACACGTTTGTACACGATCTGAGAGATCGGTGCTCCGAAGATGAAAAGCGAACTCCGTTATTTAAGTCTGCTCGTTCTCGTGTCTACGAGTTTTACAGTGATAATGGAGCCCAAGGAACATATCACTTTAGACGATGAACATTCCTATAGCTTCAACGAAGTTCTTGCTTTATGTCTCGCAAAAAAGGAACATGGTACATTCGAATGCGTAAATCGTGGAATTTTAAGTACCTTACAGTCATTAAACGATAAGGATAGTTTAGAATTTGGAAAGATGCGACTTGATAGAGCGGAGGGTTACGGTAGAGATCTTTTGGATCTAGATTATGATCCAAAAGATTTCGGAAATGTTGTAAAGGCAGCTGCCAGACTGATGGAACGCCGTAATGTCAAGTGGAATTTGGATAATATATATCCGGGATTACAGATGCGTATTGGACCAATGCTAAACGGAAACGGAATACTGGAATTTGTTGTTAATGAAAGAGTTCCTTCATACGGCGATAGGCAGACTAGTACAGGTAAGCTATAATATTATTTTTGCAAAATTAATTAAAATTAATTTTAAATTTGACTATCTTCAATAAGAGCTTGATCGTATCTATTTATAATTTATAAACAAACTTTAAGAAAAATTTGTTTCAAATACGTAGATATAATTGTTGTTCTGTTGTAGAATCTACATTTTTATACCTTGCGTAAAGATAAAGCGGAATTTTACTTAACTGTGGAAACGTTTTTACGTAAAATTTTTTTTAACATTGTAAATTTTACAATAATATGTATGTTCTTTGCTAATAATTTATTAGCAAAAAACATATGTATATAAAATTTATTAGTAATAATTTGTGCAAATAATGTAATGTAAGAATTATATGCAACTGTTTCAAATAATTTGTGAAAGAATGATTATATAAAAGGAATAAAGTTACAAAGTGCTTGCTTAAAAAGATTGTAGCTTATTATTACACGCAGAATTACTTGTGTTATCTTAGCGCGGAATTAAACCTCATGCTGATTCTTGTACTGGTTAAGACGTTACATGTTACAACCAGTTTGAAGAACGTCCTCTAGCAGGCAGCACTATCAAGACAACCAGACTGGTTGCAAATTCAAGGTCAATTTCTATCATTTCAGGAAGGCAGTTGACTAGACACATATTACTGCCATTTCTATTGGGTTTCAAATTCAATCTGGCCTCACTAATTCCGCTTATGTTCGGTTTCCTGTTAATCGTGACCAAGAAGGCCCTCTTATTGACGAAGATGGCGTTGTTTCTGATCGGTCTTTTAGGATGGAATACGCTCTTTTCCGGGGCACCTGCTGTACCTCCTTACTCGGCAAACGCGTTTAATGGCTTCCACGCTTACGGACACGACACACCGGCTGGTGTATATACCCATTACGATTATCATTACCCGCAGCGACCTTATAGACCCTTACAGGACTACAGTCCTTATGATCAGCATGTTATTAGAGAAGTTGTCAATGTTTATGACGGAAATAGCGATTCGGGACAAAGTAAACAAAATAAGAGGAATTTTGTTTTTGAGTCAAAGTAGTTAACTGATCGTAAACTTTGAAATATATTAATGGGAGATTTAGATTATATAATTAGCAACATAAAAATCGTGACCAAAGTTAGATATTTACTTTAGATTTAAGAGAGAGAATTATTTTCGTAACAACTTATTCAATTAATTTAAAATATAAGAAATATTTTATCAACTTTTGTATTATTTAGAGATAAAATTCTTAAGAATTTAGATCTTAATAATACGAGTTATTTTACAATAATGCGATATTTTGCAGTATCGTTAAAAATATTACAATTATATTATTTCTATATTTTATTATACGCATCGATTATATAATTAATCACATAGCTTTATTAAAAGCCGAATTGAACATATCAAGAAACATTTTTCTTTTATTTGTTCTCTAATTATATATAACGAACACTTTAATATAATCAGTTATAAGTTAAATTAAACCCCGCTTATACGAATAAATCAATTAAGTAAAGAAACTCTAAATGCAATCAAAGCTAGATACTGTTTAATAATATTTCTGTATTTATATTTAAATACATATTTTCCAGCATTTCAAACTGTGTACTGAAAACATACAATCTTGAAAACACAGTCTTAAATTAAAATTGGCAATAATAATATCACAAATTAAATTAATTGTCAATATTATAATAGTAATGATGCTAATAGGCGTTTCAAAAAATACTAAAAAAAAAAACTTATTACAAATATTATGTTAGCCAGAGTTAACATAATTTTTTAAAATAATATTTTTCTATTAACACTGATACATCTATTATCTATTATTAAATTGCATAATGTATCACAAATAAACATAGTAAAAATATAAAATGTTTATTAAAATAATATTTATTTTATATATCTACGCTATTCATTTTTTATTTCGTTACATTATCATATTATATGTCACACTTGTATTGTTCCAATTGTAATATATCGTATTGTTTAGACGAATCGAATAAGTCGAAAGAGAAGAGATATTTTATGCCGATAAAACAACTAGCGTCTTCGTCTGCATTGTGTAATAATGTTTTTTATTACAAATTCACTTTCAAGTTCAATTGCAAGTATCTGTCCATCAACTAGAATTGTCACTGAGATTCTGACGTTTTCACTTAGCGATTCCATTAGCTTAGTCCATTATCGCATCGTCCTTTCTTTCGGTCGTCTAACTGTACTAGTTCTCTCTTTCTCCGTTGCTCTGACGTTATTATCATTCGCAAGAATGACGATGATTACATCCGGGAAACGCACATTGCTTCTCTCCCTCTCCCTCTCCCTCTCTCTCTCTCTCTCTCCCTCTCCCTCTCCCTCTCCCCCTCTCCCTCTCCCCCCTCTCTCCCCCCTCTCTCCTACTTGTAAAGAAAAATACTATCATATCTTTACGGTCATGCGACCACGTGCTTATAGCATCCTCTATCAAATGCAACTAATAAGGTGAGAATGCGTTGCATGTTGTAACAATTGGTGAAGAAAGCTTTTAAACAAGTTTATCGCCTTTGTCTATCATTTAATTATTCCTCCTTTTATACGTGTACCTTGTGTGTTATTATTAGTTCATATCATAGAATATTAAGAAATATATGTAGTGCATATTAAGAAACAGGTTAAGGTTTTCAATTAATTATATAGTGGAAATACATTTAAAAAATGATCAATATCGATCAGATAACTTTTAATTAAGAGTGTTCGATTAAGAATACAAATCTCTTGCAGACAGAAAGATAGTATTTACGGAAATACCAATTTACAAGAAATGACAATATTATCGTTGAGACAGTATCATTCTGTAATAAGAGCGTGACAAAAGCTTATGTTTGTACATACGCTTCTTTCTTGATAATTACTCGAATTATATCATTAAAGTGACGATGAATGAAGTGGATAATGAATACTTGGTTTCGTATAACAATCATTGTGATTGGAATTGATTTGATTGGAATTTACCAAGATGATGAAGGAATTATAGTGAACTTGTCTACTATAACAAACAGCCTACATTTGAAAAAAAATAATTGTAAAATTTTAATGCATTGAATGTAGTGGACAGTGTTAATCAAGTCCATATTTATAATTGTTCCAGTTATTTTTCAAATGTAGCTCGTCACGGATCGTAAACTGCACTAAATTAACAGTATTTAACAGATATAATAAGTTCCTTGATCTTTATTAGTTGTATTATATATTGTAATATTGAACTATATTATATTATATTAGTTACATTGTACAATACTGCAATATTAAATGCAACAAAATGAAAGAATTTCCCAAGTGATGAATACTAAAGCGATTATTTCATATATTCAGTATTCAGATATTGAACTTGAATGTATGTAATAACAATAACAAGAAATAATTAGCGTTGGAAATACTAAAACTCATTTCCGCATGACATTATTCTGTAACACGTAAAGTTAGTCATGCATGCAAATTGATGGATAAATCTACAACTGTTTCTGCTTCTCGATGCAGAGGTTTGCATTTATAATCATATTTGGGTGGAGAATATCGTCTGTTTTACCTGCATTCCATTCCTGATACGTTGTTATTAACTACGATTGGTGCGGCGGAGTTTTAAGGTTCGTTTGATAAGTAGGTCAGAGGGATACTTACTTACGGGGCTGTACGACATTGTTTTGGTTGAGGGGTCTTTCCTTCCGTTGTGTAGCGTTAAACAGCGCGTGGATCAAGTACGGGCGTGTGTACCAAGAATCTTAATGCTTTGGTAGGAGAGGCTAATGGGTGCACACTTATATAAGTCACAATGCAACCAGATTCTAACGAGTAGTCTGCGAGATTTAACAAACAGATCAGCAGAGGTGGACAGTGTAAGACGTAACGGAGGAGAAGCTGATGATTGTACTATAGGCAATTAGAAGATAAAGAAGAAGAATCAACGAGTTTGCGTATATTATACTTACGATGGATAAGCGGCATTCAATAATTTGGATTTTACATTTTCTTCATCTCACGGTGTTCTGCAATTTAGTGATTGCTAAAAGTGAATATACAAGTCTATTTGAACGGTGCACAAACGAAAAAAACACTTTCAATTGTTTCAAACGGCGTGCTTTGGAAATCCTCGACTCGGCTATTCAAGATGATTCTGTATTTAAAATCAATGATTATATTTCAATTACCAAAGATCAAACATCTACCGCCGAAAGTCACAACTCGATGAAATCTGAAAATGGCACGGAACTAAGTCTCGATCAAAAATTGGATAATAAGTTTTATGAATATTTAACATCGAGAAGCGTGAAACTGACAATACCGGGAAATGCTTTTGAAGGTAAGCATCTCAAGATTATTAATAAATTGTATCATTAAAAATGTATTATGTTTTTCAATTAAATCATTGAAATATAAATTATAATTTAAAATGTTTTATAATCGATTGTTTTACACAAATAAAATAAAAATTATTTGGATGTATATTCGATAAAGAAATTGCTTTTTAAAAGGAGAAAAAATTTAACAATCACATTTAAATAAATATATTTGCAATATTTGCAGGAAGAAAAAAAAAGAATAAGGGTTTCGGATATATAATAGTGGCAGGTGCCGTGTTAGCAGGTAAGTTCTTTCAATTCAAAAGTTAATGTTCTAATTTATAGAAGAAATAACTTTAAAATATAAATTGAAAAAAAAATATAATAATTAACCCAAAAAATTAAATTAGCTTATTAAAATTTTTTTAGATTTTTATACTACTAACTTTTTATACTATTAAATTATATTTTTAAACAATATCATAAATACAAGCAATGAATAAAATTTACTTCTTACGGAAAATAATTTTTTTTAAATTTGTTTATCTATTTTAGTATTCTAAATAAATAAAAAAATTTAAATATAATTATAGAAAAAAATCGATTCTTCCAATCTTCCTTATGTGGAAGTATAAATTATTTGTTTAGGTATGATGGCGCAATTAGCCTATGGAAAAATTGCTTTCCTTGCTGGCACGGCTTTACTAACGGCGAAAATGGCTTTAGTTTTAAGCGCGATAGTTGGTTTGAAAAAACTAGTGTCGAGCGGAGGAGGTGGTCATGAAGTGATTTACGCTACAGCATCGGAACATCATGGAGGTGGTGGCGGTGGATATGGTGGTGGTTGGCAACGAACAATGGATGTTGTTCCTCCAACCTGAATCATATTCAACACATAAACTACAAACTCAAAAGTCTTACGATTTAGTTACCACATGTAATACATCTTCTTTGATGTATCCGATAATGAAAATGTATTATTTTTTAAATTTTATTATTTAATTATTTATTTATTTAAATATTTAATTAATAAAAACGTTTTATTGTACATTACTTCCTTTTTTTATCCAAAAGAACGTGTTATTCTAAAGAATAAATAATATATAATATTATTATTTGATAAATATTTTGATCAGTATTTACATCACACTTTTGTCGATAAATGCGCAAATTTAACTTACATTATGATTAATGTATATATAATTTACATTACATATAACATAAAATTTTAGAAATAAATGCATGTATTTATTGATAAAAGTAAGGTGTGTAATATGAATCTTTGGCTTAAATTTTCTATTACTTTGGAATTTTACCTTCCATTGACATATTTTATTTATATTAATCTAGAAATATAAAATTAAAATAGATATTATATCTTTGCTCAATATTTAAGAGATATTAATTATTTTTTATTTAATTTATTATTAAGTCATTATTTAATTTATACTTAATTCTATTATTTCATAAGATAATATAACATTATTACCAAAATAATATCAACTGTAAAATATCATGAAATATATTTGTGTTTGATAATTTTATGAATATTCTTAACCCTTCATAGTCATCAGGGGTCCAAAGGACCTCAAAAAGGTGAAAGGCTTTATATCTCTAAGATCTTTTTTTAAAACGGGACTTAAACTGCCATTTATCCGAAATTCAACATGCCCTTTTCGCGCCCAAAGGCCGGATACTGTTCCTTAGATATCAGTTTTTGCAATTTTTTTAAATTATGTTAAAATTAAAAATTTCAAAAAGCCAGCGCGTGTTCTACAATGTTTAAAGTATGTTCAGTAATTTTTGTGATTTTGAAGAACAAAAGTTGTAAATACGGCAATCAATTAAAATGTTGGGATCATTTTGCCCCTTGTATGATCGATTTATAATTTTCGGGAGGTGTCACCACGAAAGGATAATACACAAATAATTGCATAAAAAATTAAAAGTATGTAGAAAAAATAAGTTAAAATTATATATTTAAGCTGTTTATTAAATAATTATATTGTATATTAGACTTTTTATATGTAAAATATAATATATCTATACTTAAAAAAGATTTATAAACATTTGTTATTATATATAATTTTAAATGTATATATCCAAATGTATATAATTTTCTATTATAACATATGATCTAAATTATAGCTTTTTTTCATTAAGTATAAATATAAATTTCAAATTGTGTAAATAAATGGGCACATTGAGCCAAGCAAGAAATTACGCAAATAAATTAATAATACTATATTTCTATTAACAATATTAAATTAACAATATTT